TGCAAAAATAGCCTGTTATCCTGCTTGATACTTATATTTGTTTTTATTGATATATTTGTTACTATATAATATCAATTCATTAACAGTCATAAACTGGCACACTGGCTTGTTGCGCAAATCGTTTTACCATTTACTACACTTTGTTATAGCTACTTCATTATTTACCTAATAAATCAGAAGTCTTGCACATTCAAAGAAAATATATTTTTGAATGAGGCGCATGTAATTCAGAACTGGCGTGGTGCTGCTCTCTCGTGGCCTTATGGAGGAAGTGCAGCAGAAACGCACATGAACAAATCATTTATTACATCGTTTTTAAGTACAGACAAATTGTTCCATCTACATTTAAAGTTCTTAGCAGATGCTTTAGTCAATTCGACTGATAAGACCGAGCAAGTGTCAATTTTCTGAGCAGGTAAAGAACAATGCAAGCTGACATATAAGTACAGTACGCCTAAAATTTATCATTTTGGCTTAATATTTGGGTTATGATTGATCAGTCTATTATTACACTTTTAAATAACATTTATCAGTCATCGATTTACCCTTTATTATCCAAATATTAGCATGTTTACTTACATTGTTGGCGCATTTCCAATTAAACAGAATATTCTATAAATACACAAAACGATAGCAAATGTGCATATGCAGTTGTATGTGCCTGGATATCTCAATCATCTTGCACGACCAGCACGTTTCCTTTAATCTCATATTCGATGGAGCGCCAGTCGAACACGTTTCCTCTCGGCACACGCTGCGCGTGGTTCAAATACAGCGCTTTGATCTGGTTTCCGGTGAGGGCGTGGTCCCACATGTTCAGGTCCGTGAGCTCGCCGGCGAAGCTTTGCACCGCCTCAAAGTCGCCCAGGTGTTTGTCGGGGTCCTGTCCGAGCAGAGCGGTGCCCTGCGGATGGATGCTGTGACCCGGTTTATACAGCTGAAGCGCGCTGCGGCGTCCGTCCACCCAGAAGGCCGTGAGTCCGGTGCGCGAGGCCCAGGTGAGGCACAGGTGAGTCCGGAAGGTGGAGAGAGG